CCGACAGCCACTACCATGAGCTTGACACACATGTCGTCCTCGCCATGTATGCCACCCTTACCGATCAGATCATCGACCATGTGATCGGCGCCACCACCACCTATGCCCTCTGGACTCGGATCCAGGAGTACTTCCTTGCAAATCGTGCGGCCCGATACATGATCCTAAATCGGCAGTACCACAACCTCAAGCAGGGTGACCTTTCTGTCGACGAGTACGCGCGCCGTATGAAGCTCATCACCGCTGGTCTCGCGGACATTGATCATGCCGTGACCGAGGTCGACCTCACCTCGCAGTTTCTCCACGGCCTCGACGGGCGCTTCGACACCATCCATGTGGTTCTGGGGGACACAGTTCCCTTGCCACCCTTCGAGACGGTCTTCTCGTGCGTCAAACCCGCCGAGGAGAACCAGGCTCAGCGCGCCTCCGACGCCAGCGCCACTGTGCTCGCCGTCCACGGGAGCGGCGGCACCCCCGACACCGGCAGCTCCTCCGGGCCCCCAAGCTTCCCCAACACCGGCTGCTCTGGCCACCGCTCCGGTGAGCGCATGGAACGGCCCTCGGATCAGGGCCCCAACCAGTAGCACGGCCGTGGCAACGGCCCCTCTCGTCACGGCGATGGTGGTGATCGCGGCCGCGGGCGCGGCCGTGGGCGCGGTCGTGGGCGCGGCGACTCGGGCGGTCGTGGTCATGCCCTGCCGGCCTACAACCCATACATGGGTTTCTTCGCCCCCTATGGGATGGCAATCCCTCCTCCACGCCCCGGCTGGGTTCCTCCCAACTCTGCGGGAGTGCTTGGGCCACGTCCAGGATCCCACGCCCACGCCTATCCGATGCAGTACTCGCCATACCACGCGCCCCCGCCATCCCAACCGCCATCCTGAGATCACCTCGCCATGCTTCACGCCGCCTACAGCTCCCACGGCTTCCCCAACACTGGCTCCTCCAACGAGTGGTACCTCGACAGCGGCGCCTCCAACCACGTGACTGGTAACTCTGGTAACCTCACCTTCTCGAATTCTCCCTCTAAGCATAATTTATCAAGCATTATTGTAGGCAATGGATCTCATCTCCCCATACATGCCACTGGCTCCACACGTCTTTCCCCACATAATTTTCATTTACGTGATGTTCTTTTCTCTCCTCACGTCACTACCAGCCTTATTCCGTTCGTCAATTTACTAAGGATAATTCTTGCTCTATAGAATTTTACCCATTTGGCTTTCTTGTGAAGGACCTTCGCACCCGGAAAATCATCCTGATCTCCGCTAGCTCCGGCGACCTATACCCCTTTCACGGCAGCAACAAGGCTTGGCGCATCGCTTTTTCAACTACTGTCTCCGATGGTGATGTGTGGCACCGCCGGCTCGGCCATCCTAGCCCTCATACCCTTCGTTCTTTAGACAATGATTTTCTTACTTCATGTAATAAATCTCCACATGCTCCATGTAGTGCATGCCAACTTGGGCGCCAACCCCGTTTAGCTTTTCCCTCATCCACTAGTCGCACGTTTGCGCCTTTTGATTTAATCCATTGTGATCTATGGACCTCTCCAGTTGTGAGTTTTTCCGGTTATCAATATTACCTTGTTGTGCTTGATGATTACCCTCATTTTTCATGGACATTTCCTCTACACCACAAATCCGACACATCAACTACCCTACACCGTTTCTTTGCTTATGTGAAAACTCAATATAATGTGATCATCAAAGCGTTACAATGCGACAACGGTGGCGAATTTATCAACTCGGATTTACGCTCTCTCTTCTCTACAAACGGCATAGTCTACCGCTTCTCCTGCCCTCACACTTCCCCCCAAAATGGCAAGGCCGAGCGTTTACTTCGCACCACCAACGATATAGTTCGCACACTACTCATCCAAGCCAAACTCACCCCTCCCTTTTGGGTAGAAGCCCTCCACACCGCCACCTATCTCCTAAATCGCCGTCCCTCGCGTGCCATTAACAACCAAACACCATATTACCGCCTTCATGGCCTCCACCCTACATATGATCACATCCGCGTCTTCGGTTGCCTATGCTTCCCCCAACCTCTCCGCCACTACACCACACAAGCTTGCTCCACGGTCCACATGATGCGTTTTCCTCGGCTATCCCCTAGAACATAAGGGTTACAGGTGCTACGACCCACTTTCCCGACGCGTTATAGTGTCTCGCCACGTTATTTTTGACGAGAACACATTCCCGTACGAGCCTCCCACACCATTGCCTACCGCTACCCCGCTCGTAGAAGATCCGGCCCCGCGATCCAGCTGCAGCGATCCGTCCCAGATCCCACCGCCCCGACAACCTCG